CTTTGTAATATATGTAACCTTTGACCCAGAAATCACACTTCTGGGAACTTATCAAAGTACTTGCACAAGTACATACAGATATAGCAGCGGTTCTCAACCTGGGGGTCGAGACCCCTTTGGGGGTCGAACGACCCTTTCACAGGGGTCGCCTAAGACCATCGGAAAACACATATATAATTACATATTGTTTTTGTGATTAATCACTATGCTTTAATTATGTTCAATTTGTAACAATGAAAATACATCCTGCATATCAGATATTTACATGACGATTCATAACAGCAAAATTACAGTTATGAAGTAGCAACGAAAATAATTTTATGGTTGGGGGTCACCACAACATGAGGAACTGTATTAAAGGGTCGCGGCATGAGGAAGGTTGAGAACCACTGAGATATAGGTATAAAATGTTGGTTGCCACTCTGATTGCAAGTGATAAATTGCCAACATCCAAACACCCATCAACAGCCAAGTCATTTAGCTGTCTACTTGTATTTGTGTTAACATGAAAAGACATCCAGGATGCATTATTCAGGGGAAAAGGCAAGAATAAGACCGTGTGCCCTGCTGGTGTGGCTCAGAGGTTGAGCATTGATCTATAAACCAGTAGGTCATGGTTTGATTCTGGTCAAGGGCACATGCCTGGGTTGCAGGCTCTATCCCCAGTAGAGGGCGTGCAGGAGGCAGCCAATCAATGATTCTTTCTCATCATTGATGTTTCTCTCTCTTCTCCCTTCCTCTCTGAAATCAATAAAAATATATGTAAAAAAAAAAAGAAAAGAATAAGCCCTAACCGGTTTGGCTCAGTAGATAGAGTGTCGGCCTGCAGACTGAAGGGTCCCAGGTTTGATTCCGGCCAAGGGCATGTACCTTGGTTGCAGGCACATCCCCAGTAGGGGGTGTGCGGGAAGCAGCTGATTGATGTTTCTCTCTCATCGATGTTTCTAACTCTCTATTCCTCTCCCTTCCTCTCTGTAAAGAATCAATAAAAAATATATTTTAAAAAAAAGAATAAGACCATGTGTGTAGTATGGTCAAAACAAATAAAAAATTAAGTGTGCATTTGTATGTTGCTATATATTTTGAAGCAATCTGAAACAGCGTATGCCACAGTTAACAGACGTGATCTCGGGGACGTGGCATCAGGGACTTTCCTAAGCCTGGGTGCCTGTCGTTTTAACTTTCCCCTTCAAACACCTATTACTGTCATAAACAACAACAACAAAAGCAAACACTGGTTTAGAAAGATGTTAGTGTGGGAGGAGGAGAGGGTGAGAAGGACTGGTCCCAGGATGGGACAGGAGGCTGAAGGGGATGAGCTTTTGAGGAGAAAGAAATGGGAAGCAGTCAGATGCCACCTAGAGGTCACAAGCAGTGGTGCTAGGTTTGGGAGGAGGTTGCTTTAGTGATCTGGGTTCCTTGAACTTCTAAGCTACCAGTGGGCACACTTTTGCTCAGTTTGTATTTTCAAGCCCCAAAGCACCTCTACTAAAAACCAAAGCTGTGCCCTACTTACTAGCACCTGTACTCACCATCGTGCTAACTCACCACCTGCACTGGTGACACAGCACAATGTCTGTCCACTGCTGGAATCGTGCTAAGCATCACCCAGATGTGCACAAAAGACTGTCAGGAAGTGGCCTGTCTGTTAAGGTAGAGAAGTAATGTTTTTGTCCATTTAAAAAAAATTTTTTTAAGAGAGGGAGAAACATCGATCGGCTGTCTCCTGTGTGCCCCCTACTGGGGATCGAGCCCGCAACCCGGGCATGTGCCCTGACTAGGAATTGAACTGTGACCTCTTGGTGCATGGGACGACACTCGACCAGCTGAGCCACACCATCCAGGGCATTTGTCCACCTGAAAACTACAGTGGGTGGGACCAGAGTGCCCTAACCTTGCTCTTTGTATGATTTGATTTGTGTGTTTCTCAGCTTGGCCCAGTCTCCTTCTTTCTTTCTAAAGTTAGATGATGACTCACGCTGTACACAAAGGCAGGCCGTGTGGAGCTTTCTGCTTCTGTTCACGCAGTGTTTGGGCCTGATGCTGTTCTTTCGGCTTGAGTCTTTCACGGTCACCCTGGCCTAGCAGGTTCCCTCTTGGTTTGAGCCAGTTCCTGAATAGAGTGTTTTTCTCACCCCAGGAGTTCCATGCTGTTTACTCCACAACTAGGGCAGGCCCAGGAGCTTGCAGAGGGCCTCGCTGTGGTCTGGGTGGTCCTCTGCTCAGCTCCCCCAGGTGGGCTTTTGTTGTTGACTTAAACAGCAGAAATTTCTCACGGTTGTGGAGGCCAGAAACCTGAAGTCGAGGTGTGGGTAGGTAGGTTGCTTCTTCTGAGGCCTCTGCTTGGCTTGCAGGTGCTGGTCCTCTCCCTGTCCTCACGTGGTCTTTCCTCTGTGCGTCCAGGTGGCTTTTCATGTGGCTCCTCCTTTGCTGTCTAAAGCAGTGGTTGCAACTGGTGGTCCCCAGACCCCTGGTGGTCTGTGAGGTCCGAAAGGTTGGCGACCGCTGATGTAAAGGGTGTCTCCTTTACTGAAAGTTCACCCGGTAAAGAATGGGCAACCCTGGGGATTTGGGGTTTTTTCAGAAATGAGCATCTTAAACATGGTCTACTTTTTACTTTCAGAATTAAAAATCCTTTGGGGCCAGGTAATGTTGCTTCCAGAACTGGATTGTCATAACTTCCTTCCAAATTTTTATTTTATGTATTTTTGTTTGTTTTTACTATGTCCTTTCAGATTCATGTGAGGTTAATCAGTTTTCTTAAAACTATAATTTCAAAACTCACTTGGAACTTAAATCCATAACAGTGTGTTAACACATATGCCATTCAAGTATCATGAGTTCAGAAGTCCAGATGCTTTCTGTCCAGATTGTGGATCTGAGCTGAGACCTGTCAGGATGAAAATCAGACCTGCTCAGTGGATCTTTCCAGATGACTTACAGCCTTAAGGGTTCCCTCCCAGAAACCGAGAGGAGGGAGGCACACCACTAACTGAGCACAGCTACATCGAGGGCCTCAGCTGACAAGAAAGGGGTGGCCCTTCATTTCTTAGGATAAATGATTGATTCTTCACATCTTGTCTCTGAGTTAGAGCTACTGATACGTTCGCCAGGTATGAGCTGTGCCTGATGGATCACCGGGGAAGGTGGATATTGTGTCTGCATAAGCAGAGAAACGAGTAGTAAATATGAATTAGCACCATCTGGGTTGAAATTTCCCACTAGGGTTGAACATTTATTTTTATTTTTAAAACAGATCACACCACAAAACTTTTTTTTTTTAGATGTGGCTCAGTGGTTAAGCATCGACCTGTGAACCAGGAGGTCTCGGTTTGATTCCTAATCAGGGCACATGCCTGGGTTGCAGGCTCAATGCCCAGTAGGGGATGTGTAGGAGGCAGCCAATCAATGATTCTCTCATCATTGATGTTTCTACCCCTCTTCCTCTCCCTTCTGCTCTGAAATCAATAAAAATATTTTTAAAAAATCATTGACAGTTTTCCCCTCTTATGCCTCAATGGAGGATGATGTTTAGAACCACCTACTGAATTGGATTTTAGTTTTTAGTTTCAACTGCTTGTTTTCAAAAGCTTATCCAGTGCACCAAAAGGTCACTGGTTCAGTTCTTGTCAGAGCACAGACCCAGGTTGTGGGTTTGATCCTTGGTCAGGATGTGTATGGAGGCAGCTGATTGATGTTTCTCTCTCTCTCTCTCTTTCTCTCTCTCTCTCTCTCTCTCTCTCTCTCTCTCCCCCCCCTCCCTCTCCCTCTCCCTTTCTCTCTCAAATCAATAAAAAATAAACACATTAAGAAAATAATAATAAAGCCTGGCTAGCATGGCTCAGTGGTTGAGCACTGACCTATGAACCAGGAGGTCATGGTTTAATTCCCAGTCAGGGCACAGAGAGGAAGAGAGAGATAGAAACATCAATGATGAGAGAATCATTGATTGGCTGCCTCCTGCACGCTCCCTACTGGGGATCGAGCCCACAACCCGGGCATGTGCCCTTGACCAGAATCGAAACCGGGACCCTTCAGTCAGCATGCCGACGACGCTCTATCCACTGAGCCAAACCAGCTAGGGCAATAAATAAATAAGTAAATAAATACACACACACACACACACACACACACACACATATATATGGTGTGTACATGGTGTATATATGGTATATATATGGTGTATAGGAGCAACTGTTATAGGAGCAACTGTTAGGCTGTTTCTTTGATCGTTCTTGTTTGTTTTGAAGTTAGTGGAGACGGGGGCCTGGACTTCTGGGCAGCTGCTAAGAGCTGTGAGATGAAGTGGAGGCTCCTGCCTTTAAAATGAGCTGGGCCTGAAGGCACAGAGTTCATATAACTGTGGCAGAGAGCTGTACCTTCTGAAACATTTCCAATAGTTTCTAACTAATTTAAATACTATTAATAACTCTGTGGGAATTAGTCTTTGTGTTCATAGAATCAAGTATCCAACCGTCCGCTAAAAGTGGCTGACAGTCTCCCGATTGGCCTGGAAATGGCTGAAATGAGAAAAAGTGTAACATTTCAGCAAATTTTTCTTGCAGTGTGTCACCTGATATTGGTAATGGTTTGTTCATTCGTTCAGCAGACACTTATGAACTTATTTGCCAAGCATTCGTTCTTTCAACAGATGTTACTTGAGTGCCCAAGTGCTCAGGGACTGGCCGTGGCACGGGATGCAGCTGGGAATGAGGTGGACAGTCCTGGCCTCTTAGCTAATAGACATTAAGCATCTAATTTTGCGCACGTGCTACGGGAGGGGCTGCACAGGCGCTGCTCGGCGCTGGGGCTTTTCCTGAGCAGCGGTCACAGGCCCGCCTTAAGGCTGCATGAGAGAGCCAGGCCCTGCCCTCTGGTGCACAGCCCAGGAGGGGGACAGGCAGAAACCAGGCGTCTACAAGGCCTGTGGGGTGCAGAGGAGGGAGCCGGGTGTCTCAGCCTTAGCTGCGAGTGTTAATACCTACCCTCTGACCCTGCAGCATGGACAAGGACAGCCCGGACATCCACCATGACCTCAACGCCCTCAAGACCAAGTTCCAGGAGACGCGCAAGGTCATCAGCACCATGCCCGGCATCCACCTGAGCCCTGAGCAGCAGCAGCAACAGCTGCACAGCCTCCGGGAGCAAGTCAGGACCAAGAACGAGCTTCTGCAGAAGTACAAGAGCCTCTGCATGTTTGAGATCCCCAAAGAGTAGACGAGGCCGCCGCGTTCAGGATGCCCGAGAAAGCACGGGAGAGCAAGTGGCCCGATTGGTTCCTTATGAAGTGTGGTTCTTTGGACCCCAGCTCTGAACTTTATAGCCGAGTGGCGGGGAGGCTATTGTGCTGCTTCCTCAGCTGAACTTGACGTTGACTGTGGGAGGGGCGGCCTGGAGCTCAGAGTGGCTGGGGCTTCCTTCCATGTGTCCGCGTGTCTCGATGCGTAATAGCTGGAGTGCCTGCCGGTGGGAAGAAGAGGGTCCTGGCCCTGCCTCTGGGGAGGGGCCACCTCCTGCGTGTTTGGGCTCCACTGGCATCTCCGCTTTGCTTCCTGCCTCCCTCTCTCTTCCCCCCGGACATGATCAGTGTGTGCCAGGACCACATCGTTCTGTTAACAGTGCTGTGTAGCCTTTGCACGAAGTTCACTGGACAGATGAGGCCTGGGCTCGTGCGGTGTGGGCTTAACATGGTGAACGAAGGCTGGGAGAAAGCAGTTTTGAAAGACGTTTTCTCCTGAAACTGTTTCCTTTTATGTTTGAGCCAGTGAGTGTAACTGTCCATGGGGGGTCGGCCAGCTGCCTGCCGGTGGCCCCTTGTCAGGTTCTCTGCCACCTACATGCTCTTTTCACTTTCAGCTCTTGCTCCCTTTGTCTCCTGTCATCTGCGGGCATCTCGTTTAGCCATTTAATGCCCAAGAGTGGCCAAACCGCTTCAGACCTCCTGGGGCCGGGGGGGAGTGTCGCTTCTACGCAGGCACAGGCGGGCTTCCGGCAAACAGCCGGCCTCTTCCAGCGTCTCAGATTCCGTGGTCTTGGTTTAAAAGTTTATTTCTCTCTCTGGCCTCGCTAAAGAGCCAGCACGAACATTACTGCGCTGCAGGCAGGTCATGATGGACTTTTTGTTCAGAAGGGCGGCTCGGTGACAGCTGTGACCGTCCCTGGGCCAGGTGCAGTTCTGAAGGGTGGGGCGCTCTAAACCCAAAGTTCAGCAGCCAAGTTCTGGTTCATGAAATGTTTACAAACACCCCTAATTTCCTGCAGGTGGGACGTTTTATTTTCATGCGCGTCCCTGGCCTCTTAAAGGATAAGGTGAGACTAGTAACCAAATATTATTTGAATCTAGAAATGAGTGCGTAACCTATGCTGACCAGTTCTGGGGCTTACCAGCTGCCTGCTGCTGACCTGGCCGGCAGGTGCTGACGGTGGAGATATTTTTAGCAGAGCCTCGCTCAGTGGCCCTGCAGCCACCTGCCAGAAGAGGGCGGGGCGGGAGCTGGGTCTGTGGTGGGGATCCGGTTTCTGTGGCTTTGGACAGAGGAGCCGGCTCTGCATTGAGGTGGGTAGTACCTGTTAGACTTCTACGTTGGGACTGTTCTTTAACTGAATCAGTTATTTTCTTGAACTTTCAGAGTAATGTGGGGCCAGTTTTAAGGCTCTGACCAAATACCATGAAGCACGAAGCACATGGGATGCAGGGCCCGGGCTTCCTGCCAGGCTGGGAGGTCAGCGTCCTGGGCGCCGTGGTTTTCAGGAGCGTCATTAAAAGCACTTTGCTCTGCTCTCAGGACATCTTGGTTTTTGTACTCAGAAGTTCTTAACAGGATGTCTCCTGGGCACTGGATATGTTCCCTTTGCTTAGAGATGACAAAGGGGCAACCTCCACTCCGCACCCCTCCCCCCAGCACATGCATGTTACAGTGTGGAAGCAGCAGCTCCTGCTGGCCTGGAGGCTCATCCTGCCCGCCCATGATGGGCCCCAAGGCCATCCCTCATTCCATAAGGGGTCAGTCCTGGCAGGGAGCAGCCCTCACCAGAGCGAGGTGGTAGTCCCTCCCCCGGGACAGTATCAAGTGCCCCTTACCGGCTGAACACCCCCTGGAAGCCGATTATTTGGATTATTGGGTGGCAGGCACTTTTTATTTCTTTAAAGATTTTTAAAAATTAATTTGAGAGACAGGGAGAAACATCGATGTTCCGCTCAAAGCTCTCACATGGATGGGCCACCTCCCGCAGGCCCTCCCCCCGGCCGGGGATCAAGCCCGCAACCTGGGCATGTGCCCTGACCGCAGATTGCAGCAGCGACCTTTTGGTGCACAGGATGGGACGACAACCAACAGCCACAGCGGCTTAAACATCACACTTAATTCTCACAGCAACTCCACGCAAAGGGCGTTCTCTGTATTTTCCTGGCACAGAATTCGGGGCTTGGCAGGTGTCGCTGCCCCAGGCTCGCACAATTCAGAGGGGTCCTGAGCTGAGAGTGGCTGCCTCCGCTCCTGAGGAAAGGAGCCAGCAGAGAAGCGCGCCGGACACCTACCCAGGGCAGAAAGTGCTTCCTGGAGTTGGAGGGGCCCGGAGGCTCAACTGTCTGTAGACAGCCGCCTGGGAGTCCGGAGAGGAGCCACGGGCCAGCTCTGCCTCCTTACTTGTGAACGCAGGGCCCAGTGACACCTCCAGACCTGTCACCTGGGGCCTGCACTGAGTATTGGACAGACAGTTGGGCACAGCCCCAGGGGCCTTTGTGGCTGGGTCACAGGGAAGCTAAGCTAGAAAGATGCATCTCAAGAGAGGACTCTGAAATCCTTTCTTGTTGGCCTCGATTTCAAAGGACCCATTCCCCAAATAGAAGGGCTTCTGCCCAGCCATCCGGAACTTTCCTAGAGCCTCTTCCCCCAGGAGAGCTGAAGCTGTGCTCAGAACGCTGGTGCGTTTTCCAGGTCTGGGAAGGGGAGCCTAAGCCACAACGTAGAAACCCACTCCTCCCTCTCACCCTGCCCCTCGGCCCATTTATAAAAGCAAAGAAAGCATGGTTTTCATTTTAAATTATTTTATAGTAAAATAACCAGTAACAATAACACGGTCTCACACAGTATAAACACTGGATAAGGTTTTGTTCATGTTCACGAAGTTTTTTCCTTGTGCAGTTTCACACACACATGTAAACAAGTCATTTGGCTGATCTGACCCCTTAGTTTCAGGGCAAAAGCTTTTGCCAGCTGCCACGGCAGCCCAATCGCAGACAAGTGAATGCCCTGGTCTCCCTTTACCCTGCGGCGGGCAGAACGGCTTCTGGGAGCCCAGCGGTGGCTGATTCACTTCCACACACACCTTCCCAGCTATTGGGTCTCTATGAGAATCCAGGCAAGTTCACCCTCTGTTGGACCTGTGCCCACCAAGTCAGGGTGCAGGGGTTGGTGGTGGTGCCAGTGGGCGCTCAGACGGGGGCGGGGGAGGGGGGCACCTGTGACCCAGTTCGCTTTCCTTCCAAAGCAGATGACCAGCCCTCCTCCGTTTTCACCTCCCAGTTGGCGGGCCGGGCTCGGGGGAGGGAAGACGCCAGGACACTTGAAGCTCAGGGCCAGCCCGGACCTGGATTTTACTTTTAAACAACAGGGTCTTCCTTCGGTCCTGCTGTCGGCCTGGGGGAGCGGGAGCCCTAGCTGATCACGCAGCGCTCCCTGTCCTTGGCCTGGCCGCCCACCTTCTCGCGCACGCACAGGAGGTCGCTGTGCACGCTGGGCCGGCGCGCGAAGGGCGCCACGATGCCCAAGGCGCCCCCCGGGCCGCCGGCGCGCAGCGGCTTCCCGCCCCGCAGCGCCTGGTGCAGCGCCTCGCAGTGCTGCGCGGACAGCCGGCGGTGCAGGCCCGGGCTCATCTCCCCGGGCAGCCCGGCCATGGCGAAGAGCGCCCGGAACATGGGGTCCAGGCTGCTGTTCTTTTTGGCCGAGACCTCGAAGTAGGCGCAGCGCGGGGGGCCGTCGCCCAGCAGCTGCCGGACCTCGGCCGGCTCCACCTCGCGGTGGAGGTCGCGGTCGCCCTTGTTGCCGCACAGCACCAGGGGCACGTCCGCCCGCCCCTTGGGTTTGTTCCTGAGGCAGGACTTGGTGTCCAGGATCTGCTGCTTGAGCCTCTGCGCCTCCTCGAAGGATTCGCGGTTGTCCAGGCTGAACACCAGAATGAAAACGTCTCCTGCGGGGGCAGAGCAGGAGAGGCGGTGAGGGGGCTGCCAAGGGGGCCCTTAAAGTGGGCTTGGCTTTGGGGTCGCCCAGCCGCCAGGAGCCGGGCGCCAGGCGCTCAGACCTCTCCACGCGCAAACTGGGCACCCGCGCCCTCGCCAGTGCTCTCGGACGAGGGGTCTTCAACCCCCCTCCCGGGGGCACAGCTGGCATCAACACCCTCCACCCCCCTCCCGCTTGCCCGGCCCGGTGCCCCGCTCACCGGTTGAGGATGGGAGA